ATGTGACCCAGCGAAATGTGGTGCTGTTACTACAACGATAAAAAACAAAAATTGAAATAAACGAAATAAAATGTGATGTCAAAAATACAAATGAAGAAATTAAAAGAAACAAAATAAAACATCAGGACTTCACAGCAAATTTTGACGCGAAAAAGTGGACAGCATCATGGAACTGGAATAAAGAGCCTGTAATTGATAATAACATTTGTAAATACAAGATGAACCACAAGTACGAACGTAGTAACTGCAAAGAAATAAGTGAATGGTTTAACTCTGGCATTTTTGTACCATATAACGAACTAACATTGGGACCACCTAAAGTATTGATACCGCTTATGTGCGTAGTGCAAGAAAATAAGGACAAAAAGGTACGTCCAGTGGGAGATTTCCAAGTTCTCAACGAATTTGTAAATGGTCACACAGCGAATGCGGACGAATGTCAAGAAAAACTGCAATGTTGGAGAAAAATGCAAAAATTCTTGATCTTAAAAAAGCCTACCTTTGGCATTATCAAACGGTGATTATAAATGGGAAACGATATTGTTTTACCAGAATGTGTTTTGGCATTAATGTGACTCCAACAATAATGACCACAATTCTTCGACATGTGCTTAATTTAAATTCAACTGTAAAGAAAGCATGCGATAACTACATTGATGATATATTTGTGGATGAAAGTGTGGTACAATGCGGAAAATGTAGCAAAGCATCTGCATAAATTCGGGTTACAATATAAACCTCCACAAAATCTGGAACAAGGATGTGTCTTAGGATTGAGAGACTTAAGAAATAAAAATGGGGAACTGATATGGAAACGAGACAATATGGTACCATTTGAACCTTTAAATGCAGTCACACGATCACAGCTTTTCAGCAAGTTAGGTAAACTTATTGGACATTACTTAGTGGCAGGAAATTTGCGTTTACAAGCTTCATATATCAAACGTTTAGCTGGAAATATACCTTGATGTGATTTTATTTCAGAAGATTGTAAAGAAAAACTGAAAGATTTGCTTCATCGTGTGGAAAAGGAGGATCCGGTTGGTGGAAAATGGTTGGTACCAGTGAATGGGAAAACAGAGCTTTATTGTGATGCATCATCCATAGGACTTGGGGTAGTTCTGCTCATTGGTGGAGTAGTTGTTGAAGACGCAGCATGGCTACGACCAGTAAGTGACACACACCATATCAATATAAGTGAACTGGATTCGATACTTTAAGGACTATACTTAGCTAGTAAGTGGGACATGAAAGAGTTAACAGTATACAGTGATAGCAAGAGCACGGTAGGATGGTTAAACGCAGTTTTGAAGGAAGAATATCGCGTAAAAACTCATGGAATTTCTTAATTGTTAGTACAAAGACGGTTAAATACTATTAAGGAAGTGGTAAAAGGTATCCAGATTGTAGTACAATGGATTCCGTCTGAAATAATTTTGGCTGATCGACTCTCATGAATTCCTTAAAAATGGTGCAGAACAGTGTTTGTAGCTGGATTACCTGAATAAAAAGACATATGGAAAATTCATTCGATTGGTCACTTTGGTGTCGCTCGAACATTACAACTTTGCTTGCAAAATAACCAGTATGTATCACGTAAGAAGGTTTCAGCAGTAATAGCAAATTGTAACCAGTGCAACTCCATCGATCCTTACTCCATACAGTGGAAGCATGGTCAACTGAGCGTAGAAGAAAATTGGAATCGGGTTGCCATTGATGTGACGCATCTAGGTGCTGAACTGTACTTATCGATGATTGATTGTGGTCCATCCCGATATACAATATGGCGTAAACTAGTAGCTAAAACAGCTACTGAAGTTGTTGGTAAACTTGAAGAAATATTCTCTTTATTTGGACCGCCGATATGTCTTCTAATGGACAACGAATTTCGGTCCAACACATTAACAAGCTTTGCTGAAAAATGGAATGTTAATTTGGAATATCGAGCAGCACATCAAGCTCAAGGTAATGTTATAGTTGAACGCATACACAGAACGATAAAAAGAACAGTTGCTTGCTCACATTGTTCAATGGCTCTGGCAGTCTTGCTGTACATTGAGACAATATCATCCAATTGTACTGAGAGTTCATTCGAGCAATTCAAGAAAAAGTCAACTTGTTTCATCCCAAGTATCAGTACTTGGAGAAAAACAGACGAGAAAGGTGTAAATACGAAATTCAAAGAGGGAGACAAGGTGTGGGTAAAGCCAACTCAAGTAAAAAAATGTGACCAACCGTGGATACCAGGTGTAGTGCGAAAGCAAAATACTTTATCGTTTGATGTCGAATCTGCAAATTGGGTATATCCGCATCATATTTCACACCTGCGTCACCATACAGACCTACAGAGTTCAAATGAATCAGTCAACGATGTTTTTTACAGACTAAAAGATAAAACCAATAACGCTAAAGAAAGATATCACAATAATACTACTCAAGTTCAAAATGATTCTCAAGAACATGTGCTGCAAGTAACACGCTCCGGACGAACAGTAAGACCATCACAAAGATTAGACTTATGAGTTAATTCATCAAGAGATCGTGTTCTCTTTTTATGTTGGTGAATTATACATGTTAAAAATCACTTAGATACGTGTTGAAAATCACGTGTTATTTCAATTGTAATTAAAAGTATTCTCATGGCACTTTTTTTATTTTATATATATATAGAGACAATTTTTGTATAGAGTTAGGGAGGTGTAAAATAATAGATTTTGTTTATTCAATTCATGGACGCGACAATCCAACATTTTATCAGCAGAAAAATTAAATCTCAAGACTATAAAAGAAAATTCTGTAAAAATCGGTCATAAAAATTAGAAAATTATTATTTCAGTCACCGAAAAATCAAAGTTCAAGTGTAAACAGGCTTTAAAAATTGTCAACATAGTAACTTTCTCACCAAAGTATAAAACTTGTGTCACATTATGAATAAACAGCTGTTAGAAAATGTGCATTTGGCCACAATCCATGATTGAATTAAATAGTTTTAAAACTATTTAATTCTAGTATAGCTTGTGGTCAAATGCGCATTTTCTAACAACTGTTTTTTCATAATTTATTTAATATGCATAAAATATTACGCATGTGACGTAAAAAATATAAATTTGGATTTATAAATTCCCCCCCCCTCCCTACCTCTTTAATTAACCTTCCTCCCCCCACCCCACCTTGTTAATTAGACGTGGACTAAAATTCCCACCCACCCTCATTTCCACCCTCTTTCATTTCCACTCCTTGTATCAAAGACTCAAGACTAACCAATTAAGATGTAGCGTAAATACAACCAATTGAGATGTAACGTAACATAAAAAAATTCTGCATTGAAGACGTATTTTAATTATGCCTTTTTCATTATGTTACATTACACTTACACTTTTAAAAATTAAAAAAAGCCAATTGAGGCTTAACGCTGTGATATGATGTCTCGAATTTGAGACAACTAAAGTACGTCACAAATATAGATTTTATTTTACTTTTCATATACATTATGTTAAGTCTAAATTGATTACACTTTTAAAAGTTTAAAAAAAAAGCCAATTGAGATATAATGTTGTGAATTGAAATATAGATTTTTTTCGCGACGAAGTAACCAGTTGAGACAGAGCTATTTTACAATAAAAATTAAAGTAAATATGGTAATTAGAAATACGGTAATGATAAACATTTGCTGCATTATCAAGTTTATTTGATCAATATTTAATTAAAAATAAAAAAAAGTAACCTTGTAACCAATTAAGACGTAACAAAACTAGTTAAATGTTATATATATATATATATATATATATATATATATATATATATATATATATATATATATATATAGTGATTTCGCCGGTTATCCGGTTTTGCGGTTAACCGGATTTTGTTCGAATATCAAATATCTATTTTCGAATAATAAAAATCGACTTAATAATTTTACGAAATTTTATAGAAAGTAACATCGTAATTATGACGATTATTGTTTGACAAATGTTAAATTATCAAAGATTATAATATATTTCTTTTATTAATTTAAATGTTAATTTAATCAGTTTTGTTTGATAATATATTCTTAAAACAATTTACAATAGAAATCTCAAAGATTTATTTATTACTTTTACAACTCAAGCAACACATTTTTAAGAAAGTTTCTTCAGAATATTCTGGAACTCTAATTCGCTTATTCAGCATATTTTTTTGAACCAATAGAATTTATTTATTCGTAGATTTGGCGTTAGCAAATATTCTTTATATTATCTTTACGCAACAAGTTGTTTTGAGAACATTCAAGTTTATCTATGTTTCCATCTATGTCCGCATAACAATCAGTAATGCAGACATAGATTAAAATATACGCTAAAAAAATTTACTTCATAACATCTCATTTTTCCAAATCAAGTGTGTTTATATGAGAGACTGATTTTAAAAAATCCGCTGATATTAAAACATTTAAACTATACTTGAACATTATTCCTACCTTTTTTAATTATATAATTAAAAAGGTATATTATATTATGATATAAAAAATATATATATCTTTTTCCATGTTTTGTTATAAATATATAATATAGTACTGTATTCACTAACTTTCTTGAAAATGTACACTTTAACATTAATTTTTTAAAAATTAGTTTAAAACGCTACATTCGTTGAAATTTAGAAGATCCTGTTTTTAGAAAGCGTCACTAATTTACCGAATAGTCGGTTAACCGCAAATTGATGAGAACTGCTATCCGGTTTTTGAAATGGATAACCAGCGAAATCACTATATATATATATATATATATATATATATATATATATATATATATATATATATATATATATATATACATATATATATATACATATATATATATATACATATATATATATAAATATATTTATATATATATATATATATATATATATATATATATATATATATATATATATATATATATATATATATGTATATATATATGTATATATACATATATATACATACATAATTACATAATCATTTGATTTTATTGTAGCCACCTGAAGAACTTGCTTTTAGAAAACAATAAACTTTCTTCATTGCCTTTGGAACTTGGTAAGGCCTAATTTTGTTTTTTAAAAAAAAAAGTTTGATTTTTACTAATTAAGTTTTATTAAGTTTTATTTTATTAAGTTTTCATTTTTTACACAAGTTAGATATTGGCTAAGCATTATGCTAGTAAAAGCTTTATTATTTGGGAAAAGCTTTCATTTATCTATATAATAATATGTGGAGAAAAAACATTCAGACACAATATTTACAGGGACAAAGTTGAAGATATGCTATATTACTGTTTTATTAGTTGCAATCTTTTTTAATTAAATACCAAGAAATTTAGTTTTAAAAATAAACTTAAAAAAAAACTTATTGATTTTGCTACCAAAGCTTGTATAAAACTCCTAGATTTTGTTAAAGCTATTTATATTTAGTTAAAATTAATTATAGTTTGATAAAAATAAAAGAAAACCATATTTCATAACTATAAAAAGATATAAAAACTATAAAAGACCATGATAACAATAGAAAACTTCATTTTAAAAACAAATTTATTTTTAATGGAATTTTTGATGTAGCCTTGTTTGTCAGTTATTTCTGAGAAAGTCAACTAATTTTAATGAAATTGAACAATAGAATTTTCTTTTTTTTTTATTTTTCTTTTTTAAAAAATTGTAGTTTAAAATAACCAGGTAAAAAAATTATTCATTTGTAATGTTTCCAGATACAAATTTAGTTTTTTATCTAGTTTGTGAAAAAGTGAAATAAAATTTATGTTGATGAATAAAAATTTTTTGCTTCTTATTTGCTTAGGATATCTTACAAGTTTAACCGGTTTAAATTTATCAAACAACCCTTTAGTATTTCCACCAAAACATGTTATTGAGATTGGAGTAAAGGTAAGAAACTTTTGCATTTTTTTAATTACGTTTTTTTTGTTGTTGTTGTTGTATTGTTGTTTACTTAATGATTAATTTGTTTCTTGTTTCATGTTTACTTACTAATTAATTTGTTCTGATTATGTTCAACAGCATAAAATGATAAGAGAAAGAATTTATTTTTAATGTCAACAAAAATTCTTTATCTTGTCATTTTTGTTCAGTTGGTTTTTCTTTCTTAAATAATATTTTCAGTTTTTTGATGTATAATAATATTTTACTTAATTAAAGGTGCAAAGTTGTTTTCTTTTAGTTTCCATATTTCAAATCCCATATTTCAGTTCAGTTATTTTCCATATTTTAGTTCAGTGTTCGTTTTGTACATATCGGTACTAAACAATTTTGAAAGTCATATATAGTTTGCAATATTTAAAGTTTTTTTTTTTTTTTTTTTTTGCACTTCATGGCTTTATGGCTGTCAATAGGTATGAACCTTTATGTTAATTATGTTCCATTAAAAATTTTCTACATTTTAAGCATAAAGCCCTCAGTTTTTAAAATTTAAATTAATGTATTAAATACTGAGCACTATTCTACAGACAAAAGTTAAGAATTATTAAAATCCATAAACTATTTAAGTTAAAAACTACATTATAGTTTGTTTTTTTAAACTAATTCATGTTATGCAGTAGCTATAACTACTTTTATGGAGTTATGTTAGTATTAATAAATACTTATGTTAGTATTAATAAATACTTGCAATTTTTAGTAGTATCATTTCTGACTTAGACAGCAACATGGGTTAATTAAATTTTTTTTAGTATATATATATATATATATATATATATATATATATATATATATATATATATATATATATATATATATATATATATATATATATATATATACAGTAGCATGCAAAAGTTTAGAAACATCTTTTTTTTTTCAGTTTTTACTTTTCACAAACTTTCTTAAATAAGCTGGAATTTTTACCAAATGTGCTCTATATTATTTCAATTTAAAATACAAACCGCAAAAGTTGTAAAATTGAACAGTTAATTAATGTTTAATTGTTTTTTTGAAAAAGCTTCTGTGCAAAAGTTTAGAAACAGTATCATATCCCGCAATTAAATCATAATTTTGTAAACAAAAGCAAAATTTAAGGCCAAAATATTTGTAAAATTTAATAATTTAATTACGTTGAGATATTTCAAAGGCAGTGAATTATAACTAATTGCTAAAATATTTTTAAAATTTTATATTTCAATTACTTAGTAATATTTTAAAAGCATGGGAAAAGCTAAGGAAGTTTCACAGCTTTGAGGAGATAAGTTGTAACAAGGGAATGAAATGAGTTCAAAGTATATTAAAAAAAAAAATTTGCTGCTACCTTATCATGTTTCTATTTAGTAGAAACCACTGTGGACCAGAGTGACCGCCAGGGTAAGATGTTGTTTCTGGGGCCATTAAAGTTTAGAGGTAACTAACTATTCTAAAATTGTATAATAATAAGTCCGAGATGAAGTACTTGGGGAACTGGATAGAAAAGATATCCTTGATTAAATTCTATGTTTTGGTTAATCTTTGTTTTGTAGTTTTTTTATTTTTTTGTTATTTCTTTCTAATAAATACTTCTGTTTTATTGACATACATTAAGAAAACTAAAGGTTTCATAATAACATATATGTTATTAAAAGAAACTTACAGTTTTCTTAATGCATGCATATACTTAAATGTATATTCAAATATATTTGTATGTATATACAAATGTTTATTCATATACATATACTTATAGTATAAGTATGATATAGATTGAGACATTTAAGTATATTGTATATGTATGAACATATATTGCATAAATTATACATTACATGTATATACATATACAATATACTTAAGTTTTTTGATGTATGCCATACTTACCTGTACATCTTAGTCTGATAAGATTACAAAGGATAAATAGACTATATAATCTCATCACATAATATAAATTGAGACATTTAATTATATTGTATATGTATAAACATTGCATAAGTTATACATTACACCTATTTACCTATGTAATATAATTGACTTTTTTTATGTATGCCATACTTAACTGTTCATTAGGGATATGACAATTTTGCAACTCTATATCCCCATACTTAATTTAGTGGGGTTTTTGTTCAAAAATCAAAAAAATAACAAGCATTTTTACTATTTGTCAAAAAAGTTCACCCCCCAATCAAAAAATATAAAAAAATTAAAAAAATGTAGTTTTGCAACACATCTTCCACTACTTTACAGAAACCAATAAACATGTATAATTAAAATTTGTCTACTATGTATTTGACAATAAGTATTTAATATTTAGTTTTTCTATGCTATGGCATAATGGCATTAAGTCTTGCATCATTTTCACAGCATGTTCTGCACATATATTTGACAGTTGTGTTGGTATTGGTGTTGGCTCAGTGGACCAAAACCTTTTCAATGATTTCAATGCTTTGGGATGCTCATTGCATGTTTCTAATAGATTAACAAAATCTGCAGGATTGAAGTAGTGACCCCCAAACCATATATCACCCCATGAACCACAGATGAAGTCACATGCTGCTTGAGTAGATTCTGATTCTTGGTATTCTGATATTAAAATATAAGCAAGTAGAATAAAAATGGCTCTCGAATTCCATCTTGCATTGCTTATAGTAGGAAGTGATTTGAAATTAACTTTTGGAAAGTTACCTATGCTTTTAAACTTTCTATAACATGCTATTAAGTGATTCAGGAAATCCATGTCATCTCTTTAGCGAGTTCGCTTCACTTTCGTCAAAGGATTTCCAATATTACAAAATAATAACTTCAAGTTCTCGTAATCTTGCGGCAACCTTGTCACAAAAGATCAGAAGTAAGAGTTAATCCTAGAAGATGAAGGGTATAAGACTCATCGAGTACATTACCATTCATAAATATAGAAAGGTCTAAATTATTGTGATAACGATTGGCTGAAAAAAGTTGAGTTTTATCTGAATTAAAGTTCACCAGCCACTGTGAGCCCCATGCTGTAGCAGAAGTGAGATCCTTTTCAAGCTCAGATGCCCCCTGCAAGCAATCAGAGGGAGGTGGCTTCTTATTGTGACAAGAATAAATGGTAGTATCTTCAGCGAACAATGCCACCTTAGATGTGAGAATATCTGGAAGATCGTTAATGTAAATTAAAAAGAGTATAGGGCCAAGGATTGAACCTTGAGGTTACAAAATAAGAAGAAGAGTGCTGTCCATCAAGGACAACCTTTATACTACGATTGGAAAGGAAGGATTCAATAATCTCAAAGATGTTTCCAGATACACCGTAAGAAGAAAGCTTATGGAGAAGACCAGCATGCTAAACTTTAACAAACGCTTTAGAAATGTCAAGAGCAATGGCCTTAACCTCTCCACCTTTATCTAATGTGTGATAAAACCTATCAGTTATTACTGTTAGCAAATCAGCTGTAGAAGGAGAAGATCGAAATCCATATTGATGATCAGAAAGTAGGTTATGAGATTCAAGATGAGAGATTAAGTGTTTGTTAATTAAAGATTCAAAAACCTTGCTTATGATAGGAAGAAGACTAATGGGACGCTAGTTAGACGAATCAGATCGCTCTCCAGAATTTTTAAAAATATATATTTTTTTTTTTCCAACAGGCTGGAAAACAAGATTCTGATAAGCACTTATTAAATAGTCTTGAAAGGATAGATGACAGCTCCGGAGAACACTTCTGTAAGACTATAACAGGTATGTTGTCCGGGCCGCAAGCTGTAGAAGAGTCTAAGCAGGAAATCACCTCAGATACAGAAGCTGGAGTGATATGGATGTCGAGCAGTGAATCAACCTGTTTAACGGCTATATCAGGTAGGACGCAACTAGTGGAATCAAGAGATGATATTGATGAAGAGTTCTTGGCAAACAATTCAGCTTTGTCTTTAGGTGAGGTGACAAAGTCTGAACCATACAAAAGACTTACTCTTATTATTAATACTATTAAAGGTTCTCCAGAAGTCATGAGAGCCTAATTTTTGTGATGAAATACGAGATTTCATGATCTGAGAATAGCGGGCTTTGGCATTAGACAAAATCTTTTTACAATGGTTCCTAGCAGTAATAAACAGATGTCTGTTTTTTGGAGAATTGTTTTGCTGATAGATATGGAAGTAATGGTTTCAATTGGCAATTGCAGCAGCACAATGTGAGGAAAACCATGGAGAAGAGTGAGGCTTGACCTGGAATCGTTGAGAGGGAGTAAAAGATTCCATGCCAGCCTGAATCCACGAAGTTATGTAAGAAGCACATTTCTCAACAGCTAGACGAAAGATTTCTACCCAGGGGCCATCACAAAGAAAATCACGGAAAGAGTCCCAGTCAGCTTTAAGGTAGTTGTAAGATGTACAATGATAGGGGGATTCTGATGGTAAAGAAGAATAAGATAATAGCTTTAGAGAGACCAAACCATGATCAGAAGCACCTCAGGGTGAGTGTGGAGAAACTGAGCACTGACTAGGATTAAAAAACAAGACATCAGTTGAGTAGGGAAGGTAAATGATTTGGGCTGTCTGGAAAGCGAGTTGGAAAGTTGACTATTTGGGTTAGGGATTGAGAAAGGCAAAAGGCTTGTGGGCCTTAATGCCTGCGGAGTCACTGACACTAGAGCCAAGCCATTCAGTGTGATGAACATTAAAGTCACCGACAACAACAATATTGGCTGATAGATAAAGAATGAGGGCTTGGTCAATATAATCAGAAATAACATCAAGAAGAGTGCAGTCTTGAGATGAAGGAGAGCAATATAGAACAAAGAGAAAAGTAATAAAGTGAAATGGTGCTAAACAAAAGCACATAAAAGAGTAGTCTGGATTCAAACCTAGTTTCCCGACAAAAGGGTTGATTCTTACGAATGTAAATGCCTAGGCCAAGCATGTGACTATTGGAGTCTTGGAGTCTTTACAAATTAAAGGAAGATAACCATCAAAACTAAGATCACAAGATGAGACAGCTGAACTCAAATTAGTCTCACAAAGAGCAAGTAGGTCTGGTGAACTTTGCAAGAGATAAGACTCAACAGAAGAAAAGTTACTTCGAAGACCACGAATATTGGTGAATGATAGGTTTAGCGAACTTGGTGATGACTGTGGTTTTTTGCGTTTTATTGTTTTTGTTACTTTATACATTTTTAAATTTGTTAAAGAACTTGACTTAAAACATAGATAGTACTCAGTACACTGTTCTACAGCCCAAGCAATTGCCTCATTTCCACTAATAAACCCTAAGCCGTAACAAAGGGCTCCAATTTGGCCTTGGCAATGCACACCAAAAGTACAAACAGGAACACCATCCATCCGCAACATGGCACTGTTAGTACTCTGATATTTTTCTCTGGTAGTTCTCATCTTGTTGGTTTCAGAGTGTAGGATCTCTCTTAGTATAAACAACTTTACTTCCCAGCATGACTACTTATTCTGACTTCTGAACTTGTGCATTTTAGGTCAAATGGAGCATAATACATCACACTTTGTGGTTTTAGAGGATCAATAAGTTTATAAAGGTTACTATTAGCTTTAGCCTATTCATTTTATGTAATCTCATCACACTTAAATGTACAGTTAAGTATGACATGCATTAAAAAACTTGAGTATATTGTATATGAATATACAAGTAATGTATAACTTATAAAATACATGTTCAAACAAATATAATATACTTAAATGTCTCAATCTTTATCATACTTTGCTATAAGTATATGTATATGAATAAATATTTGTATATACATACAAATATATTTGAATATACATTTAAATCGAGTCATGCTAAAAGGGTATAAGTCAAAAAAATTGAAAATTGGTTTAATAATGGTTTTCTTATTTCAAGAATAGGTTTTAACTATTTAAGATAAAATTAGACATTTCAAATACTTGGTTACCACAGTAACTGCAATGGATTGTAGAGTTGTTCATGCTAGAAGGAGTTAAGTCACTGACTTTTCCCCTTTCAGCATAAAAATTCCTCTTATGCCGTCTGCAGACGTAGCTATGCAATTGAATGCAACAGATGATATGAGGCAGTTGTTATTTTTGTTTATTGTACTGTTCTCAGAGGCAATTCTATGAAGAAAAAGAGGGAGTGAATCCTCAAAAAGTATCAACTGGCACCAAAAATATATATATATAAATAAAATATAAAATATAAAAAAAAAGGCCTCAAAAACTAAAATTCACCAGATTGAATTTTAGTTTTGGGGACCAAGATCTAGATGCTATTTTAAATGTTAAAAATACATAAAAATATAAATGAGATATTTAAAGAAAATTAGTTTTTAATAAATGTTGCCAAAGCAAAGTTTTTCAACTAGTTTAAAGAAAACTATAATCTTTTGTTTGGAAGGCGGCAAGTTGACATCTGCTGCACTTATGAAGAACTCAATTTAAAGTTAAGGAGAGGCAGCAAGGAGATGTGCTTAATCTAAACTTGATATACATAAATGCAAATCAAAAAAGTTTTATACCAGAATTTGAAAAGATGTCAATGATAAGGACAATAGTCAAATTTTATCATTGTGTTTTGACTTTATGCAGAACATACAGATTCCATAAATATCAGTGCAAGGAACCTTTTATCTGAGGCAACTTGCAGTTAATTTTTTTTGTGTTCATAATAATAAAAGTAACAAAGCACACATTTTTTTTTTACCACCAAGGCACAGCAGGCAAAGTTCAGATGTAGTGTGTTCCTTTCTATTTAACTATTTAATTAAGGAGTTTGAAGACTTTTATGCTAAAATTTAAATGTGGCCAACAACCGAAGTTGTTGAAGTTGAAAATTATGGTTAAGTTTTTTTTGCTTCTATTTTTTATCTCAAACTAAAGAGATTTATTTAAAGATTGTATATACTTCTAAAATTAGTTCTTTGTATATAGGATTTTATGAAAATATTGGTTTCCTGGTATTTTTAGTAAATAACATTATTTTAAAACACTTTTATTTGTCTTTTTATTCAAGTTATGCTAAAAAGGGTTAGGTCAAACAACATTAATGACTTTTTTATATATGAAAGCAAAATGTCATTAATAAAGTGTGTTTTATCATAACTGGGGTAATAAAGAATTCATATACAAAAAATTACATCTTTTTGAATAAAAGTGAAGATAATGCAAAGTTTTATTTAATTTTCTCAAAACTATGTGTTGTTGACTACTCCCCTTTTAGCTTGAGCCAATTCATTTAAGCATATGTATATTTAATCATAAAACCGTAAGTTTTTTTCAATAACACATATATGGGTAATCCTTCAATTAAGTATCTTAAAATAGTTTTATTTTTTCACTTGTTTTGCTCTCATCAGTGTGGATTTTTTAAACATAAGGAATTTTTATTAGAATAATAAAAGAAAGAAGATTACTGTCCCATGACAAATCCTCAGTTAATGTAGCAGCACACTCCCTTGCATCAGCAGACTATAAGATTGTTGATGTATGTACTGGCGCCAATAAATATTTTTTATGTTTAAATAGTCTCAACTGACGAGAGCGCAACAAGCAAAAAAATAAAATTATTTTAAGTTGCTTAACTGTAGCTTTACCTGTATATGTTATTATGAGACCTTTAGTTTTCTTAATACCATTTTTTTAGTTAAGAAAATGTATTTACTAGAAACTAATAATAAAAAAAAAAAACTATAAAACAAAGATTAACCAAATCATAGAATTTAATTATATGTGTATACTTCTCTATCCAGTTTCGCAAGTACTCCATCTTGGTCTTATTGCTATATAATTTTAGGATAATTGATTACCTAAATTTATCTATCTAAATTTATCTAAATATCTAAATTTATCTATCTAAATTACTATCTAAATACCACAGTTTTTAATGTTTTAGGGCATTTTGAAATTTTTGCAAGAAAAGTTGCATCATCAAGACTCAACTGAAAACTGCCATTTTGATGGTGTGTAGATATTTAAAAAATTTTTACATAATTTATGTTGTCTTTGTGTTTAGAAAATTTCCTCTATGCTATATATAACATTTTAATTATGATTTACCGGCAGTTAGTTGATGATTACATTTCTATATTTATGTATTATGTTATATATTTTTTATTTTTTGATAATTAGACAATGGCTGTAAAGATGAAATGATGTATTCAAGCCAGTTAGTTTCTTCAGATATTAGAGAATCTTTTAAAAATCAAACTTTAAATCATTTCTGCGATAATAAAATGGTAATAACAGAAAAAAGTAATAAAGAAGGAGATTTAAATAAACAAAAAGAAAAAATGTGTCACCAATCAAATCAGCAAACATGTAACTAATTAAATCTTTATTCAAATATTCAACATAATAAATTAATTTTAGTTGTGCGATTGAAGGGAACATAACTAAATGATTTTTAAAAATTATTACTTTTTAAAACCAATTTAAAATTTCTATTTTCTATTTTTTCCAATTTATTATATGATATAATTTCTAATTTAATATATGATATTATTACTTGTTTAATAGCCTGTTTATGCTGATGGTAAAACACGTTATATTTTAAACGTATTTTATGCTTTTAATGTTATAAGCTATACTCTCGAGCTCCTAATAAATGTCCCCCCTTGCCGTTTATTAATTTTTGGATATTTTTCCCACCCACTCTAAGCTTATTAAGACCCCCCCTTCCCCCGTTTATTAATTTTCTTATGTCATCAACAAAAAAAAGTTATATATATCAAAAGTAAAAAAAAAAGTAAAAATTTAGTGAAAATCGGCCTTAAAAATTTGAAAATAATTTTCAGTCACCAATAAAAACAAAAACTTTCAGTGTAAACAGGTTTTACAAATTGTCAACCTATTTAATCTCGATTTGCTAAAAATGAACTTTTAGTTTATTTCTCAACAAAGCTTTGGTTTTAATTATAGGATTTAATATGCTGAATATAAGTTTTATATTTTGCAAAGTATAAAACTTATATCAGTATTTGACTTGAACATACATAATTTGAATGCCGTAAATTTCTAAATCTTTTATTTATTTTTCATTATTATGTAGTATCAAAGAAGAAAAAGAACTTAAATTATAAAGGTTTTAAATTTTGTTTTCTCATTGTTTTTATAGTTATAATTTTCTAGTTTTTTTTATTTTTTTGCAGTTTTTTTTTTTTTTTTTTTTGCAGTTTTGATCACTTTTTTTCATTCTATATATATATATATATATATATATATATATATATATATATATATATATATATATATATATATATATATATATATATATATATATATATATATATATACATATATATATATATATATATATATATATACATATATATATATATATATATATATATATATATACATATATATATATATATATATATATATATATATATATATATATATATATATATATATATATATATATATATATATATTTTATCTAACAACTATTTACAATTATGCATTCATCCATAAAGATTTTAATATAAACTCTATGACCCATATTGAAAAAAAAAAGTTTCAAAATGAAGAAGACTCTTTGAAAAAATTCAGGTAAAGGCTTTAACCTTTTTTAAGATTTATATTTGAAAATATGTAACAATTTATTTAAATTACTTGAATATTTATTATTTTTTAAGATATGCGTGTCCAATTAATCAACTTTTTAATGTGTGTGAAATTAAGTATATTTTGGTAATTGGTGTTTGAGATTTAAAGGGATCTCAAACTCCCGACACTTGTTGTGTTCATATTAAAGATAATGTTAAAAAAAAAGGTTTGAACCAAGTTTTTTTGATTAAAAGTAAATATTGAATGCATACTGAGAAAAACTAACTTTGTTGTTTTAGCCGAAGCTTGCCTTCTCCATTTTTTTCAATAACTCGGAGTCTTTAAATTATAGGTCGCAATCTACAGACTTTGGCGATTCCTTTGAAGCACGTTTAATTCATAAAAGTTTTAGTATTTGACGTCACGGTAGACTTTTAACAAATGAAACTCTGGAAATATTTTTATTTATTTTTATTCAAACTTTTTTTGATTATTTGTTAAGTTTTTTTTTTCTTTTTTTAACATTTAAAAAGATATTAAAAACCTTAAATATTTTATACTGGTTCGTTGCTATGAATTGTTATTGCGCCATATATTTAATGTTTATAAATTATGAATATTTATCTCAATCAAGACTCTGATAAAAAATTATTATACATTAATTACCCTTATAAAATTAGTAACAGCATTTTTATTTGGTTAGACAATATTTCGTCTCAATTTGCTTTGCATGAAGTTCGGTAAGTCAAGCGAAAAAAATTAGTTTGAATAATCACTTTGAAATATATTCAAAACAAATTATTTTAATGACGGGGGTTTAAAAGTTTTTTATAACAAATGTAGGTTAAAAATAAATAATTAAATAAAAAGTTCAACATTAAACATCATTTCTTTATTATATTGCAACTGTAAATATTGAAATATTAACTTGAACTAAATTTACTTATTATTTAGAACAACTAAACAATAAAAAATTGTTGTTTATTTGATAATTACTGTTGGTAATGTTGTTTATGTTGATTATTTTCATTAATATCAAAATAGTCCCAGATTAATCTGTTAGTTGCTTTGTTCATTGTTGCTTTATTTCTAATTTAATTTTATCTCTAAGTATAAATTTATGTTAAGAAAGAAAAGTTTTTATTTCATCACTTGCTCTTTTTATAAAAGAGTAGAACAAAAGAGAAAGAAAAGTTTCGTATAATTAAACTTCGAATGAATAAGAGTTGTATAGAATATATATATATATTTTTTTGCGTCACTCGTTCTTTTTTTAGATGAGAGGAATAAAAGTTTAATAGTAACTTTTCTTTGAATAAATGAAAATTGGAAGAGAAAATTGCTTGAAAATTTGTATTTGTTGTGTTTTAAAATTTTTTTAATTTTTTATGTTAAGAGACAAATGCCAAATACGATACAAATTGGGAAATACCAAATATAATATGTTTTTTAACACGCTTTATGACATTTTGACAATTTAAATTACCATTTATCTTGAATTATTGCCATTAATTAATGTGTTAATTATTGCGTTGTACTTTTTTTTCATAACCTTAACAGGTTCTAATTGCTATGGAGTTGCCGACATTTTAAAAGTTTTATTATCAAAAATCAAATGTAAAATAAAATGATATTTCCTTTTTATCCGTATCCAATTTTAGCAAATTTAGCAATTTAAAATAAATCAGCGTAATCAAAAAAATTTTATAATAAAAAAAGTTAACAATTCATCAAATATCTCTAATTAATACTGTCAGTTTATGAAATTAATTGTTAATATTTTTTTTCGACGGGAAAACAAAAAATATCATAGCGTAAAAATAACCAGAGAAGTTAGAAAAAAGTTCTCATTGTTTAAATAAAAATAAGTAAGATTCAGAATATATAATACTGCGCTCTTATGCACAAAAACGAGAGACCGTATACATAACGTTCTATATAATGTAAAACACTCATATGAAAATCATAAGATTCGTAAGTAAAGCTTTAATATTTGTTTTAATTTAAAAACAAAAGAAATATAAGTAAGATATATAAATCTAAAAAATATTAAGATATTGGTAAAAAAAAAGTTCCTCTTATGAAATAAAAAGCTTTTATTATTTTTGATTTTTACAAAAATTTGGTGTAAAAGTTGTTTTGCTGTTAAATTTTTTTTTTTATTGTAATAGAAAAACGCATCGTTGTTTAATTACACTTTTCTTTTGTTAAAAATCTACCGTGATGTCAAATGCTAAAACTTTTATGAATTAAACGCGCTTCAAAGGAATCGCCAAAGTCTGTAGATTGCGACCTATAATTTAAAGACTAATTTAAAGTTATTGAAGAAAATGGAGAAGGCTAAAACAACAACATTAGTTTTTCTCGGTATGCATTCATTATTTATTTTTAATCAAAAAAACTTGGTTCAAACCTTTTTTTTTAACATTATCTTCAATATGAACACAACATGTGTTGGGAGTTTGGGATCCCTTTAAAAAAACTAAGTATTTTGTGTTCTTTGAGTTTTATGTGAGGTTCGAAACAGTTGAACATCATTTTTTAAAAAGGGCTTGAGGTAATCACCTTGTAATTATTTACTCTCTAAAATAAAATTTAGTTTTGATTCCAATTGGATGTTTAACAAACATGGGTAAGGTCCGTGTTCATTAAAATGTCCTTAGCCTTAGATTTAGAAAACTGATGTTTTTAAAAATGTGTTTTACACATGGTAATTACAACTCTGTTAAATAATTTTAATGTTTGAATTATTGTTATTACTATTAAATAAATTTATGTGCACAGTTTGATAATATTAAGGAGAAGTTACTTAAATGTTATTTTTTTTACTTAAATGTTACTTCTTTTGATTTATTTTAGAAATAATGAAATTCTTAATAATTGGCGTACAAAGAAAAAAGTAAAGCGAAAAGAAATTCAAACTTTGACATCAACTATCAGTCAGATTTATTTAATAATTTATCTTTTATTTTCATTATATATATATATATATATATATATATATATATATATATATATATATATATATATATATATATATATATATATATATATATATATATATATATATATATATATATATATATATATATATATATATATATATATATATATATATATATATATATATATATATATATATATACCTTCAGCAGGTTCATAGATAAGTGTTTCTACTTATTTATTATTGGTCTGTTTATTAAGAACATTAAGCACTCAATTTGTAGAATACGCTAACATAAGGTGGCTCATATGGAAAAAAATATTCAAAATAAAAAAAAAATTTGAATTTTTTTTAATTTGAATATTTTGCATAAAATACTTACTGATATTACCTTTCCTAAACTTTTTTTGTCAGTTTAATATTTTTGCTAATAATTTCTTTATACAGGAAAACTTTGTTCATTGTTTTCATAACTTTTTAATTTTATTCTTTTTATGCAATATTGCAATATTATAATGATTGTTTTCATAAGTTTAAAATGTTATAGGATATGTTGTTTTTTGCTTTTTTCATTTGCTGCATAAGAAAACATTTTAAATCAGTTTTATTAAACTTTTATATTAAAGATTGGTGTTCAAAAAGTTAGATTATTTTATTTAACAATAAAGAAACCGTATTAATAAATCCCAGCCCTATTACTCAGAAAAACGGAGCAATTGGTTTAATGCAACACTTTTAAGTTTTAAAAATTTTAATACAGATTATTTTTTTTCCAACATTCTTCTGAGCCTAAACTTTAAATCGCAAACCTTGTCAACCTGACTAGTTTTTTTGTCAGACCGCTGTGCCGTTTCTGATTGAGACCACAGACCGCTGTGCCGTTTTTGATTGAGAATGATACTTCCACAGACCCCGAAATCATATTCCATTCTCACACGATCTTGTTATATATATATATATATATATATATATATATATATATATATATATATATATATATATATATATATATATATATATATATATATATATATATATATATAATAAATCTTAGTTGCACATAAAAGTTTTTAATACATTGTGCAAAAAAATTTACCATACCTGAAAATCATCTGCCTTTTTTGTAGCATATGGTTATGTTCACAATAATTAAATGTATGAAAATGGTGGACAGTCTAAAACCATTGTCTTTATAAGAGAGGTTTGTTTTATACATGTGTCAAAAGTTGTTTTTCTTTGGTTGTGGTATAATTTATATATCACAATATTTATATATTATAAATTATAATGAATATAGATGTGTGTTTAAGTTTGTTATCCTGTTAAAAAACTAATCCAAGACCTAAGTTTCTTTTCCCACAAGAAATTGCATGTTATTGGAGAATAATGTAGTATATTTTCTTATCTGTGACTCCCCTAATTTGCACAAGTTTACCAACTTTGTTTCAAGCAAAGCATTTCCAAATCATGACTGTGACTCGACTATGCTTGACCTATGAAATCATACATTAGTTTATTATGTATTCTCTGACTAAACAATAAACCTATTGTTGGAGATTTCTTCTAAAAACGTCAGGTTTTGATAATATGGCAAGCAAGACTATAGACTATTGTTTTATTGTTTACTCTTTATATTTTTCTGCCTATTTCATGATTTATTTTTGTTTTGTTTGTGTTGTAGTGCTTATTTTGATGACGATGCATCCTTGCCAAAAGCAATTTCAAGTTATAGTCAGTTTTTTTTTTTTAGTAACAAGGAACTTTTTAAGGCTTCACCTCCCCTCGTTTTTTTGGTAAAATTGCCTCTAATCCTTACAAATCCTTGTTACAAAGATATTGTATGGTTGAAACCTGGGCCTTCTTAATAGAAGGTCTTGACACAGTGCAGGAATTTTCATGACTGAAGTTTTAAAAAAGCTGTTTAAAGTTGTAAAAGCTGTTTTCAAAAAAATTTAAAATAAATAATTTCAGATTAAATAAAGTCTTCAGATTGTAAAATATCTGTATACAAATTTCCTCATGAAGTATCTGAAAAAAACAAGTGGTTTATGAGTATTCCTCGCTCACACTGGACTTTAACAAAATATAGCATTGTTTGTAAATTGTATTGGTATGATGGTTTTGAGTTTATTCTATATCATGGTAAATTGAGACTAATTAATCCTCCATCAGTGTTTCCAAATTTCCAAATATCTCTAAAAGTTGCCTATTCTCTCCACCACCAAAAATAAGAAAAACTTTTTCTTTTTCTTCAAAAAGAGGTATTGAAAAAGATGAATTGGAAGAGTATAAGATAATTGATAATTTAAAATTTAAAGATATTGAAAAATACTTATCTACGGAAAATGATATAATTACTTATAAGCAAAACAATTATATTTTTATCCAGTCTAAAGTTTTTAATTGTAGGGTTCCACTATTTTTGCTGATAATTAATCAAAGTTTAATATTTGAAACATTGCATTATGGTTCAAAATGTACTGTTAAACCTTTTTTGAAAAACAGAATAACTTCATTTAATACAAAGTCAGCCTTAAATGAAGCTCTTAGATATCTAAAAGTTAAAGATGAGGATCATAAAACCCAAATATTATTTGAAGTTTGTGTAAAAGCTGCTTTATTATATCAAAGTGGAAATATTTTTGGAAAAATTGTTAATTATCTAGAGAGATTAGCTACAACTGTACTTTCATTTATGATCAAAGATCTTTATGGTGGACCTGAATTTTTAGCAAGAGTTTTATCAGTTACCAATCTAACATCAGATTTCCAACTAGACCAATGCAAGTTAATTGTTGAAACCATAGAAAGTTCTATATGTAATTTTTAGACACCATAGAAAGTTCTATATTTAATGATAAAGTAGTTGCAATTATTACTGATGGTAATAAAGTTAACCAAAGCTTTTTTCTAAATTCAAAACAGTAGGTGGAAAACCTTGGTTATGTCAAAATGGAACTTATATTTTATTGACTATGTTCATCTTTTGAAGTGCATAAGAAATAATTGGCTAACAGAAAAATAAGGTCAGTTGCAGTTTATTTAAAATGTAATATCTTACATTGCAAAACGGAGAGATTTAGTCAACTTATATACACTTAAAAAAAACAATTATTAAAGTTATCTAAGTCGACTGAAATCCTATATATATATATATATATATATATATATATATATATATATATATATATATATATATATATATATATATATATATATATATATATATATATATATATATATATATATATAATAAATCCTATACCAATAGAACGACAAAAAGTAAGTTTGCAAGTATTCAGTAAAGAGACAGTTACAGCTTTAAAAACTCATCTTAAAATAGACCAAGAAAGTGTCAAGGGTACTATCATTTTTTTTGGAGTTGATTATAGATTTTTGGAAATTACTGAATGTTAAATGTCCTGATGCTAATCTTAGATTTAGGGATGAGTCCTGTAATGTAATCAGATCTTCAGATGGCGTTAACTTAAAAGAATTGCTTGCTATTGCTGAAAATATGAAACCAACTTCTGGTAAATGAGTTCGCCTGCTTACAAAAGATACAAGCAATGCACTTTCACATACTTGACGTGACCTAATTGATTTCTCTTGCCATCTTTTATCAAGTGGAAATGAATATGTAATTTTAGGTTAGTTTTCTTCTGCTCCAATTGAAAAATGCTTTGGAAACTTACGTCAAGGATCAGGTGGTACTTATTTTATAACCGCTAAAACAGTTATTGAAATAGTACGTATTCAACATGCTAAGCTGGTGCTGCAGCTAAATATTGATGTAGAAGGAAATGATGGCCATGACTGTGTTTTATGTTTTGAAGATTTATATGATGGGGAAATTGATGTTATTTACAATTTAGCAGATCTAGAAGATAGATATATATAAAGATATATATATATATATATATATATATATATATATATATATATATATATATATATATATATATATATATATATATATATATATATATATATATATACATATACATATATATATATATATATATATATATATATATATATATATATATATATATATATATATATATATATATATATATATATTTATTTATATTTATATTTATATTTATATATATATATATATATATATATATATATATATATATATATATATATATATATATATATACATATATATATATATATATATATATATATATATATATATATATATTTATATATATATATATATATATATATATATATATATGTATATATATATATATATATATATATACAGGTATATACATTAGAATTGAATCTTTTGAAATCTTTCATTTTACTTTTGTAATGAAAAGAATTTTTAATATTTATGTCAAAAACATAATTTAGTTCAACTTTTGCTGTTGATTTTTAATGATTCAATCTATTGGATTTAAAAGAGTTTCTATCAGACTTATTAAGAATTTTTATTAAGTTTGGCAGAATTTCTATTTTGAAATTTTATGAATTTGGTATATATCTTTATGTATTTTTATAAAGCAATTACATTATTGTAATAACTATTATATACAACAATGTTATTCTTTAGAGATAAACATACCATACAGTAATGATCTTCCTTCCAAATCTTCAAAAAGCACTGTAGTGAGTATTTAATAGGTTCTTTTAAAGTCTATACAAATTTTTTTTATTTCTTTTTTTTTTTTTAAAGTTTTAAATTAAGATTAGGAGTATTAGATTGTTTTAACAGTTTTAACATCAAGTTAAAAAACATAAAACCTGAGAGAGAGAGTTTTAAAATTATTTATTCATATTCACCAAAAAATGGTGCAAATTATGATTTTTTTCTTTTATTGTCTTTGCCAAATCATTTAAGTAATGCTTATTCATGTGAGGTATTATCAATGATTTTAAAATGTTTGTTGCTGTTGTTGCTTTTGTTTTTGCTGTTATTGTTGTTATTATTATTATTATTGATATAATAATTAAAAAAAATAATAATCTTTTTTTTTTAAATGATTTTTTATATTAAGAATGATAAGTTTGTTTTTAATATATAACTAAATTTTTAATATAATATAAAATAAAATTGTTTTGGTTAACTGTCTTTGCTAAAGAAGTATTTATAAAAAATAAATAAAATGTATTTGTCGTATCTGGATCAATTTGAGTCTAATCTTTTTGCATGTTTATCTTTTATTTGTTTTGAGGCATTTTGAGGCATGTTAGTTTTTTTCCAGAATAGCCTACAAGTGTTCAATTGGATTGAGATTTAAATTTTTAGTCAATTGAGTAATTCAATTTGCTTCATGAACGACATTTGCTTTCTTTGACAAATGTTTGGCTTTGTTGTCTTTTTGAAAGATAAAATGTTTTCCCAGTTGTTGTTTTTCAACTATAGAAAATGTTGACAAAATTCCATAATTCCATCAGTAAACTCAAGCCTTCCTGTTTCAATCCATCAATCCTTCTTCTGGTGAGTAGATTTTAGAGCATGATATATTGCAAAATCTATCAATTTTACTTTCTATCAATTCCATTAGGCATCTTTTATTTTCTTTTGTTGTTGAGATCAGGGCATGAAACCAAGCGCTGTCGACTCGCGTAAAAACATGTCATTTGTTTACAGAGGGTTGTGGGATGTTGTATAACATTTAAAAACAGTATGTTTTACTGTTTTTAAATGTTATACTACATCCCACATACCTTGGTATTATAACATTTAAAAATATTATAATACCAAGGCATGTGGAATGTATATCCCTATGCCATGGTAGTATAACATTTAAATACAAATAAATACGTTATTTTCGATATCTAAATGTTATCAGTAATTGATTGCTCTTAAATTATTTTGTAAACTATTTATAGAATAGTTTACAAAAAAAATCTGTTTTTTTTTTTACTATTTTGAAATTATTTTAAAAAATTCCTGATTAGAATTATAGGTTTCTTATATAACATTTTTTGAAAGAGCAGCAATATTACAGTGTAATATTAAATATATCATGTCTTAATAAAGCTTATCGGTTCATAATAATAAGTCAATTTGAAAATCTTCAAATGAAACATATATATATATATACATACATACATACATACATACATACATACATACATACATACATACATACATACATACATACATACATACATACATACATACATAATGTATGTATGCATGTATGTATGATGTATATATGTATTTATGTATGTGTTTATATACACATACACACATTTACTCATAAACTTAAACTGATTGTTAAAAGAAAAACATAAAGGGATTATTTAACAATTATCAATATTGAAAATTTTTCTATTTCCTTCAAATAGATCATGTACAGCCGAATAATAAAAAAAAAATTCTTGTTCTGACAAATATGCAAACTTTTTTTTTATTATAAATGAATAGCATGTTAAAATCAATTTTTAAATAAAATGACAAAAGTACAGAATTCCATGATTTTAAATAACATCTAAAAGCTAGGTTTTTATTATGAAGCTACTTTTCAATAAATTCCATGAATAATATTAAATAGAGTATGACAAATCAATGATATAAATGAAGATTTTGGTAAATAAATTTGGTGGTTTGTTTTCTTATTGGTCTGTAGACCATGCCTAATATCCATCGCTTCACCACAAAGTATTACCACACACTGTTGACACAGTCAGACACCTTTTTTAACAAGCTATCAAAATCTACATGCTTTGTACAATAGTTTTCTTTATAAAAATTGTAATACTAAACCTGTTGAATTGATTTTTTTCTTTTTTTGTCAGCAAAAAATAAACAACCTTGTTTGGTTAGTTTTTTTAGTGTAAATGTTTAAATAAAGCATTTATATGCAGTACATCGCTAAAATCTATTTCTTTAAGACAATTGTTTTTAAAGCTGCCAGTTTCTAATGAAACAACAACAACTACAACAAAACATTCAGATAAGCTAATCCAAATTGTTTGAAAGTCTGTCATTTCAACCTTCTTTACTCTGAATAGTTCCAATCAAACTTTCTAAATAATTTTGCTTGTGAAAGTGATATGTGAAAATACAGCTAAACTAGGAATAACTGCAACTTACATTTTACATTTGTTAGGAACAACGTAAATATGTTAGATTTTTTATTATTATTGTTTTTTTTTTTTTGTTTTTTTTTTTAAGAAAAAAATGCCACATTTTGGTATATCTTAGAGATTATCAACAAATTTTATCGTTTCTTTGTGTAGTCTAATATATCTCAAAATGTATGGAGAAAAAAAAGTGCATATAATCTCAGTTGTATTTAAAGAACTGTGAATTTTTTTTGAGGCAACAATACGGTGTGCTAATTGGAATCGATCAGGAAAGCTGCAGTTTATGGAATTATCAAAAAAATATTTTTACAAAAGCAAGTTGAGTTATTTGAATGACAAGATCAAAGTCCAGATTTTAATCCAATCGAACACCAATGGGTTTTTTATCTTGGATCAAAAATACTGGCACATAATGTCTAAAGAAAATGAAAACTGTAAATCATTTTCTAAGTATTCTGGATTCAAATTGATCAACATACGATAAAAGTTGATTAAAAAGTTCATTTGCTAAAGTTATTAATACTAATTGTCTAATTCAATACTAAAAACGTCAAAAATGAATTACTTGCAAACAAATTCTAAAAAATTTTTAGACACTTATTTTACATTGGAAATTGTTCATTTTGATCTTTTGTTTTTTTGCAAAGAAAGTTAATTAAACTATTTTTTGTTATCTGAAATTAAAAAATATTTTTTTATCAAAAACTTATTTTTTATCTAAAATTAGTTGTAAAGTTTACTATTATTAAAATTTATTTAATATTTAAGAATTTTCTCATGTGTTATTTATATTGTGCATGTTCTTTTGAGAGTTATAAAGAAGCAAATGAATTATTCAAAATTAAAATTAACTCAAATTCTTCGCACAATCCGATAGAACAGCAAGTTCACGAGCATGTTAAAAAATTAAAACTCAGTAATCAAAATGCATGTTTACTTGATGCTAATGAAGCATTGAAGCGTGCAGAAGATAACCTAAATGAGGTAAATAGTTTATTTTATTTATTTTTTTTAAACTGGGTGACTCTTTTTTTAAACAAGGTTGCAAGCAACCATTTATTAAGTTAAAAATATTTAATATAAAAATTAAAAAAAATATATATATAAAAATTAAGTTGACAAAAGATTTGAATTGTATGAGTCAGGAAAACATGAAGACGAGAGAAAATAATAAAACATAAAAACGAAAGAGAATTTCAAAGCATCTAGGTTAAAGGATAAAAATTAAATGAATAAAGTTTTTTGTGCATCAAGGAACTTTTGTAGTTAAAGGATGCAATTTTGTTGAATGATGAGTCACGGAAGTTAAATTTTGTAGTTAAAGGATGCAATTTTGTTGAATGATGAGTCACGGGAGTTGAATTTTGTAGTTAAAGGATGCAATTTTGTTGAATGATGAGTCACGGGAGTTGAGTTTTGGTTGATAGAACAAGTTATGATATCTTCTTTGAGCGATAGTAGTATTTTTGGAAAAAAGAAAGAGATGCAACCTTAATCAATAGTACTGAGGTTTGAGTTGTAGCATTTCCAACAAGATTTACAATGCGTTCTGAGACCTTGTCTAAAAGAGTTAAGTTCTCATTAGAAGAACCAGTCATAATATGACAACTGTATTCTAGACAGGGACGAATAAGAGATTTTTAGAAAAAGAGAATGAAATCAGGAGTAAGAAAATGGTGAGCAACGGCAAGAGAAGCAACTTTAGCAGAGGCTAACTTTCAAATGGTTGGTTATATTTTTTGCATGAGAATCTAGTAGTGAAAGATAATCCGAGAAGGGATAAAGTAGCGAGCTCAGTAGGATTGCTGCCATTAATCAATGTAGAAGTATCAATAACATTGTGATAATTAAAAAGCAGGAGTTTTGTTTACCTTAAAATTAAAATAAATGATTTTATTTTAGTTTTTTCAGTTATTTTTCAGTTGTATATTTGAGCTCAAGTTTTTTTTTTTTCAGGTTTTGAATCTTCAAAAAGAACTAGAAAAAAACCGCTCGTTAGATTACAGATTTAAAGCTTTTTTTACCTGATCTCAAGGGATTACCATTTGTATTTTTATGTGATTATTAAAATGTGTATACAAGTAGCTTGAAGATAAAGTGTATGAAATTTGTGTGTGTATGTGTGTGTGTGTAAAGTTTTTTTGAGTTATTTATTTCTTATTATATTTATATTCAAAATTAACTATAGTAATTTATAAGTTATACATCAATAATATAATTAATATTATATTTATTTAATATATATTTAATAAGTTAATATGTGTAATAAGTACAATAAGTTAATAAGTTAATATGTGTAATAAGTTAAATTATAACAAATAAAACGAGTTTTATGATATTTAAATAGTAAATGTAACCTTAGTAACCTTAGAAATTTGTTTTTTTTTTTTTTTTTTCTGTAATTTTTGTTTTAGGTGCCCCAACAACACATTACGGTCTTGTCGCAGAGTACCGTGAAAGATATCGCTTCGAACCCTGGATTTTTTGCTTATAATTCAAGCGTTCTAACCACTGCGCCAATGCCGCACAGTTCATTACAAGAAATAAATTGTTTTTTGTTAGATAAATAACTTTGAAATTATTTAATTACTCTTTCATTTATTCCGGAGTAATTCAGTTTATAAAGCAAAATAACATGTTCGATAGTATCAAAGATCGATAAAGATTCTTAATGTGATTTGAGATTTTTTAAATGAGTTGGAAATTTAGCGTACTAACTGGATAATTGAATGTTCAGTTGTGTAATTTTTTATAGCCAAACGGATTGTTGTATGATAGATTATTAAAACTAAAATACTTTATAGTATATAGTACATGATTCTTTATAGTATGACATGACACTTTATAGTACATGATTCTTTCAAGTATTTTTGAAAATATAGATAAGATAGGGCAGTAATTACTTATGTTAGAGTTACGACAGTAATTACAATGTTAGATTTGTCGCCATCTTTGAATAGCGGAATAACTTTAGCAATTTTCAACTGATCAAAGTAATCTATATTTATGTTTTCATTAATTTAATCAACTCCAACTGATTTATATGTATATGTATATATATATATATTATATATATATATATATATATATATATATATATATATATATATATATATATATATATATATATATATATATATATATAGTGTGTTTTAAAGGCTTTTTTAAGCCTATGAAGTTGTAACTCAGTGTTAGAAACTACTTTAGAGGCCAATTTCATTAAAAAATTTATTACAATCGTAAGCTAATGTGTATATATATATATATACATGTGTATATATATATATATATATATATATATATATATATATATATATATATATAATTGCTATCCACTTAATTATGTCTTTATTATTTCTCAGGAGCATTTATTTAGAAAATTAGAAAGTTTTTTTAGATTGTTTTAATCAAAGCCCATAAATCAATTAAAGTATGTTAAATTTTTTTTTGCTTAACTTAACTAAAACAGAACTTTTGCTTAACTTAACTAAAACAGAAATGCTTTAGGTTAACCATAATTAACACTTTTAGTAAAACCTAAATCCTTTTGTTGCATTTAATCGTCCATCTTTAAATAATACGAACTTTGTTTAAAACATGTTAAAGCAGCCGTGGCGCAGTGGTTAGTAGAGATGGCACGAATAGTGGTTTCACCGAATACCGAATATTCGGCTAAGCGCTTGGCCAAAGGACCAAGAAAAGAAAGAAAGAAAAAAAATTTGTCTCCATATATTCATATGGTGACAAATTTTTTTTCTTATACTTAGTTATTATACATCAAATTGTTTTAACTATAGTTAACATGTGATACCTAGAAATCCGGACAAAAGTTCGGTCGACATAAATTGTTTAAAGAGTGTTGCAAAATTGTTGCAACTTATGCTATGTTGTAGTAAATTTAATTCTCTACAAATTGCAATATATCTTTTAGCTAAAAATTATTTATAATGGCAAAGAAAATTGTCTTAAAATAGGAAGACCTCAGAAAGCGCGTGTACGCGTTAATCGATTTGCATCCGGATATGAAGAAAAGTGACATTGTAAGACACTTCATGTTCGAATGCGCATCAAGGTCGACCTTGTATGATATTCTGCAGCGTAAGACGCTCAAAATAGGCTCAAAATTGAAAAACAGCGTGGAACTGGACGGGTGGCAATCAAGATGAACACAAAGCGAATCATGCTGAAAAAGCGAATCGATCTTAGTGACGGAGTTAGCCAGCGTCAGCTAGCCTGCAAGTATGGTGTCAGCCAAAAGCACATATCAAAAACAATTAGCACCAAGACAACAATCAAATACAAAAAGAAGAAAAAAGTTTCGGATTGAACTCCGCAACAGAAGTCAGCCGTTCGTCCGAAGTGTGCCCACCTGGCCAGAGTTTTCCGGAAAAAGAAGATGATCATCGACGATGAGTCCAAAATCTTTTATTGAGCAATAAAGAGCTATCTGGAAACGCTGGTTTCTAAACGTCTGACGTCGAAATGACTACAGAAGCTGTTAAACTCAAGCGCAATTCCAAGTTCGAGCCAAAGGTACTTGTTTGGATTGCCAAACGATAATCTTATTTTATTTTTTGAATTCTTGTAAACATTTATCCAATTTTTCTTATATACTATATATTCTTTAATAACTTTGTAAAAAATTAAAAATTGTAACACGATAAGGCAAATTAATGCCTTCTTCTTACTCCGGCCATTAACTTAATTGTAAATTTTTGTAAACTGTAATACTTATTAAACGGCAAAAATATAATGTTAAAAAAAAATTATTTTTATTATAATTAATAAAAGACATTTAAAAAAACAAGAAGTATAAATAAGATGTTACAATTTGATGAGGCCGGTCACTAATGGTTTTCCCGGTCCATGTTTTAGAGCTAGTCCAACTCTGCATCCAAATAGTTATCCTGGGGTCTATCAGTTAGATTGTTCATGTGGTGCGAGTTATGTCGACGAAACTAGAAAAAAAAATCACGCATCAAGAATAGTTGAACACGCCCAACATTGTCGTGGTTCAATTAACTAAAGTAAACCAATAATTATTTCTATTACTCCTAATAAATATACGCGTAAGACTCGAGAAGCAATTGAAATACAACGCTTACAGTCCTCTAAATTACAGGAGAATATCATAAATCGAAACAATGGTAACTTAGTGATGACACCCCATTGGAGACCACTTTAAGTCTAAATCTGCTACGTTGCAATGATATCATTTTTCTTTTTAGTTTTTATGAATTTTGTGTAATTAAAATAAAACTTCTACTATGAATGTAACTCTTTATTTGAAATTAATTTTCATACAATATTTCGAGGATTTTTTCTTACCTTCGTTGTTAAGTATATACATATATATAAAAAACCGTTGAAAAAAAATTTAAAAAAAACAAATCAATGCAATAGTTTCTTTTCATTTAAATACCGAAACTTAGGTTTCCAAAAGGAAGTTGTGACGTAACCTCCGTCATCCTGATTTAGACCGTCGTCCGATGGTGGGCGTTCATGGCGTTGTATTTCAAGGGCTTCTCTCACTTTTCTGTTAAAATTATTAACTTCTACTTTTAAAGTACTTTTATTGTTCCATGAAAAATTGCCATGACAATTTTTTGAATGCTCCGCTATGGCTGAATAATCCCATTTTTCTTCGTATGTATTTTTTTTATGTTGATAAATGCGAGATGTATATACTTGACAACGAAGGTAACTATAATACCTTGAAATATTGTATGAAAATTAATTTCAAATAAAGAGTTACATCCATAGTAGAAGTTTTATTTTAATTATATTTTAAACTCTTTAATGATGTCTTCTAGAATTTTGTTTAACGGTTCTTTCAGTTTCAATATGGCTTATACTATATAAGCCGAAATATCACCATTTAATAATAAAAATCATATATAACTAAGATGACCGTTTTTTTTTTCAATGAAAAGGAGGACAAAACTTTTGTTTGTAAAAGTACAACGTAAATAAATAAATGAAATACTTAAAATATGCTTATCTTTCTTTTATTCCTTTTAATTAGGTTGTCATAAAGTTTAAAATTAAATAAAATAAAATATCTAGTTAAATTAGTACTTTTCAATTAAGTGGATATTTTTTTGTCAATATTTCGTTTTCTAACAATGTGCTTGAAATTTCAGAGTAAGATATGTGTTTCATATTAACTTTTACAGTGAGTACTGCTGCTAAAGTATCAATATTTAATCTCGATTTTTTACTGGTCCAGAAATCATAACCGATTGAAAAAAACTCTTTCGACTGCAGCATTAGTACCAGGACAGCTCAACTCAAATTCAACAAGAATAGCTTAATTTTCATATGGAATGTGTTCACTTTTAAAGTGGTCAAATATTTCCACCCATCTTTTATAAATTTCAACATTTTCATTTTTCCATAGTTCTCATTTATCTGAAATTAAATATAAATTTATTCTTCTTATTTTATCATTCAGACTATTGTCATTAATTTTTATTACCAGGAATTTTTGTTGATAACAACTCAACACATTTTTCAATATCTGCCCAATTAACACGTGAACTCAAAAACACCATTAAAACCTGTTATATGCTATGATATTTGTCTCAGACCATTCTTTGACATATTGTAAGCATGTTTCTAAACGTCTGACGTCGAAATGACTACAGACGTTTAGTCTGTAAACGTCTGTAGTCATTTCGACGTCCTGTAATTTTACATGAACATTATTTACTTCTTTCCGTTTTTACTCGCCAAAAATTCGTATTTGTATTATCAGCTGTTAGTGCAACAATTTTAGATTTCAAATTATTTTCATTTATAACCCGGTATAAGTGTTGTGAAAATATGTCAGCAATTTCACCAACAATAGGTTCTAAATTTAAAATGTTTACTTGAATGCCCTTGGTAATATTAAAATACCTAACTAGTATTGAATACAATTTGGTATCGTTGTGATTTGAGGCTTCTATCTTCAAATTCTTCTGCAAGTACTTTATCACAGTAATTTTTAAATGCTGATTTAACAATAGATTCACATTTTGCCTTTGCACATGAAAATTTACAGTTATGAAATTTTTTCATTAATTTGATTGTACAATCCATACTTCTAAATCTTTGATTATGAATTATGGTAGGATATGCAAATGTTCCCTTTATTACAGCTAACTGTTTTTCACCCTCAGAATAATTAGAAGATTTTAAAAAATTTGTTACTTTTCTAGTGGAAGCTGAAGCATCTAATGACTTCTTATGTTTATTGGTGTTTAAGTGTTTCGTTATGGCGTTTCTCCCTCCAACTGCAATACAAAGTTCTCCAACGTTCTGCAAATATTATAAAAAACAATGGTTTCACTCTTTGATATGAGGAAATCAAATTCGTTTTTCAATTGATTATTAAAATGACATTTTCTCTTGTTTGATTTTTCCATTATTTAAAAGAAATAAAACAATAATAATAATGTAAACATATTATGTATAAATAGAATTATGAATTCAAGATTAAAACATACCGACACTAATTACTTAAGCAAAATATTTGCAAATATTAAAAAAAAAAAACACTTCGTAAAAGTTAAATTATTGACGCTCAACAATAGAATGAGATAAATGACCGGGTGAATAAAAAAAATGACCGGGTGAATAAAAAAAAGCAACTGCTTTTACTCAGCGTTTTTGGAGTAACTTTTCAGCCTACGTGAATAAAAATTCAAGAAAACTTGCTCAAATTTTTATATACATGGAAGCAATTTACTCCAATAATTGCTCAGCTTTACATGAGTAAAAAGTTTAAAAAAACTTCAAACATTTTTGTTTATGTAAAGTTGACAAATTATCAAGTAAATGCATTTGCTTTTAAATTGTTCACCCGGCCTAAACAGTGAAATCTCACTAATAGAAATGACGGTCTCCTAACGTGACCCGAAAATTGAGTTAGAAATGGCCTTAGCTAGTCAGAAATTACTCATATTAAACACCTTAGTTGCAATTAGTTTTAATATAATAAAACTAATTTTAAAATATCAAAAAGAAGGACAAAAAGAAGGACACTGATCAAGGTAGGACAGGACCAAAAAAAGGAGGATTGTCCTTCCTATAGGAGAACGATTGGTCACCTTAATATAACCAAACATGATGTTTTTAATCAATTAAAATATATATTTATATATATATATATATATATATATATATATATATATATATATATATATATATATATATATATATATATATATATATATATATATATATATATATATATATATATATATATATGAATAAATTTTAATAGAAATTTGTCTAAAGAAATTTATTTTTATTATACTTTAAATTTATATTTATTATAACAAAAAAAAATTCATAAAGATCAATTATAAAGTATAATGTTATTTTGGATAGATTATGTAATAATTAGATTATAATACAGAATGGTTTTAGACGGCAAAATCAGAGTAAAACGTGGTTCTGCAAAACATTTTATTGAAAATCGAATGAGATCAATACCTCTCGATAGACACGATAATTGGTTATTTTGTGGGTCTATACCAATGATATATTTTATTACTAGATGTCTAATTTTGATCCGAAAAGTGAAGCCGCTTTTTACCCTTTTTAAAAATGGCGGATTAAATTTGTAAACAAGTATTTTTAACTTTTCTTTTCTTAAGGTCATCTGTTTTTTCACGGGAACGGGAAAGGGAAGGGAAAAATAATCACGTGGGCATGCGTATTATAAGTTTTAATTTGTCCGAAGTTAAACTGCGCATGCTCAAGTGATTATTTTTGCCGTTCCCGTAGAAAAACAGATGGGTGGAAACTCACCTTTAAATGAAGTAAATTTGAATACTATTTACGTCAAAAGGGTTAACCGGATATTATAATACTTGTAAAATAATAATTTATGATTGCTTAAATTGTTTTCGATTAAAAAGGGATTAAAGTTTTGAATAGAAAAGTAAAACGACAGATGCTTTTGAAGCATTTTTATGAATTAAAATACTTTTTAATAAATATAAAAAAACTTTTATAAGTATTTTATAATTAATAAAATTTGTTTTTGAATTATCTTTAATTTATTGGGAACTCTTGACTTGCATTTTTAACTTTTATTCCACACTTCGGGTTCAGCTTTTGCCCTTTTTACAAATGGCGGACTACTGTTATAAACAAAAAAAAGCGGCTTCACTTTTTGTCATAAAATCCCGCGAGTTAGACATCTAGTTATATAATATATCATTGGTCTGTACTGGCCGCTTGGGATGCTTTTAGAATGGGAACTTTTTATGTTAGATTCTAGGATACTTCAAACGCAAGTTAGTAAATTTAAAACTTAGATACTCGATGTGTATAACGAAAGTGTTGAAATTTAAAGCCACAGACACCGGCCTATCTGTCATATGACAGACTGTATGTAAGCCCAGGACCGTCCCAAAGAGATTTTAAAAGTGGGGGAGGGGGCGTGTCTGTTTTTTGCCAAAATAAAATTTTTGCCAACTTATTTGAAAATAAAAAATAAAAAGAAAGGTCCTCGTTTTCCGACATTTGCCGACTGCCAACTATAAATCCAATAATGTCTACTCTAGTGTCCAATTTGTCCACACAAAAAATTCGTAGGAGGGCTAGACATCCCACTACACCCCATCCCCCCTCTCGAAACGGCCTGAATGAACTTTGAAATTTTGAGGTGTATCACTATTATATCTGTTCATAGTCAAATTTTTCAAAAATTTAAAACTTAAAACAGCTAAATACCCCTAACCTATTTTCTACCTCTTTCCCGCCCTTATAGCGCCCCTCCTTTTTTCCTTAATAAAACAAAACACTTCCGAATAATCCTTTGACTATCACAATGTTTTCATAAGGTTTTCACGTGATTTTAAAAATCGGATAAGCAAGGTATAAACGCGCTTTTAAGTTTGATTTTGTTTAGAAAGTTTTATATTGTCAAACACGCTACCAAAATGATAAGTTTATTGGTGTTTTGCTCCCTAGTAGTTTTAAATATTGCATTTCCTCACGAAAATAGATGTGATAGTGGAGAAAAATATTGGTGTAAAAGTTATGAAACTGCTTTAGAGTGTGGAGTTTTAGCCTTTTGTCAAAATAAAAATCCAGATTTTCGAGCAAAAAAAATTACTTTTAGTCCTTTAGGACAATTGGAAAATCCAACCAAAAAGTTAGTTTCCGTTGAAAATGTTGCACCTCCAGTAAAAATTGAACTTTATTACGAAAGTTTATGCCCAGGCTGCAGAGCATTTATCTTAGGTCAACTTTTTCCAGTTTTTCAAAAGTTGTTTTCTACAGGGATAATTGATATTGGACTTTATCCATATGGTAATGCAGTTGAAAGTCAAGAAGGAGATAAATGGGTATTTCAATGTCAACACGGTGAAGCAGAATGTCAAAACAATCTTATAGAAGCTTGTGTTCTTCACATGCTAAGTCATCCTTCTCAGTTTATGCCCTTTATTTACTGCTTAGAACAAAATCCAAGTTTAAGCAATGCTATGACATGTGCTTCAAAGCTTAAAATTGAGTGGGCTCCGATATCGAATTGCTATAATGGAACACAAGGAAATCATCTCATGCATGAATTAGCTCTAGAAACAAATGCTTTGAATCCGCCACATCAATTTGTTCCATGGATTGTTGCAAATGGACAACACACTGAAGAAATTCAAAGTAGTGCACAGTCAGATTTGTTGCAGTTTGTTTGCCAAACTTACACTGGTGTAAAACCTGATGTTTGTCAATCAACATCACAAAAACGTTGTTATAAAAATTAGACCAAATCAAATACTCATTCACTTTCTAATTTTTAAGAATATATTATATATATATATATATATATATATATATATATATATATATATATATATATATATATATATATATATATATATATATATATATATATATATATATATATATATATATATATATATATATATATATATATATATATATATATATATATATATGCTTACAATTTGATTTTGTACTATTTATTTTGTGTTAATTGAATACTGTTAAATAATTTTTTCGCCTAATATAATATATTTTATTGAACTTTTTATTGATTTTGTTCTTGATCAAAAAAGTTTTATTCTATAGTGAATTGGCATTACCTAAGCTGTTATTTTTATTGTTATTTACATGCTGTTGTTTTTTATAAGTGGCTGCTTGTGTGTGTGTGTGTGTGTGTGTGTGTGTGTGTGTGTGTGTGTGTGTGTGTGTGTGTGTGTGTGTGCATTTTAAATTAATTTTCATTAAGAAAACCTTATCGAAATAAAAGATTTTTGATTAACTTTTTTTGATATGCTTTTGATGGCTAATTTGTGGCTAAATGTTTTAGCCATGGCCTTGACTTTTCTGCCTTTTAACATGTCTTTAAAATTTTAAGTATGGACGTTTTTAACAAAACATTTTGCAAATGAACTTGCATATTTTTTTATTAAAACAAAAATTAAACCCTTTAATAGTTAAATGGTTAATTATTCATTGTCCTCCTCGGTCTTATTTTCTTCTTTGAAATTTGAATTTTATGAAGATTTATTATATGTAGCAAACAAAGACTTGGTCTTTTGTCAATAAAAGATAACTTGTCAATTACTTGTTAATATTTATTTGAAATTGGAATTTCTTAAACATGTAACAGGGCAACAATTTTTTTTTTTCTTTTTTTTTTTTGCATACAGTTTGTTTTTCTTATAGTATTCCTCTTTCTGAATTCAAATATGCAATTCTTTTTCTTCTATCATGTCAACTTTTAAAGATATTAGGGTTCAAATCCCAATTATATGGGGTAAAACCCCTAATATTGTCAAAAAAAAACCTCTTCAAAAACTTGACTTGATAGAAAAAAAAGGATTGCATATTTGAAATCAGAATGAGCAATTCTATAAGAAAAACATGTATGCAAAAAAAAGATGTTTAAATAAGGGTTTAATTAAGGTTTAAATTTCTTTTTGAAATATTTATATAAAGTTAAAGAGAATTCTTCAAAAATAGAAATGTATTTTTTTTTTAAACCAAAAAATTGTTAAAAAATCTTTTCCGTAAATAAATAAAATACAAATTCGTACATAAGGAAACGATCCTAAGTTGCATAAGTCAGTCGTACTGTCCGTAAAGTACGCTTTTATTTCGCAATCTTCCTTCCCCCCCTCCCCCCGCCTCCATTCCGTATTTTAATATACGTTTTTTTGATATACCTCTCTTAAAGAACCTACGCCTAACCTACCTACCCAACATTCTATGATATTTTTCTATAATTTAGTGTCTCCTTACTTTTATAATTGACCCCCTGCCCCCATCTCATCTACGCTAATGGCAGACCTCCTCTCCCGCATCCGAGTCAAGCTCTGGTTGACTCTTAGAAAAAGACAATTCTAGTCCTCATTATAACTTTATCAGCCATTTTTACATCATGGTGGTTTTATTTTATAGATCGTTTCCGTAAAATAGAGTCTAAATGAGACACTTTTCAAAAAGTTTTTAAAAGTATTTAAAAGGGTAATTTAAGGTAAAACTATTACTTGGCATGAACGTCTTACAATTATTAAACATTAAATAATTAGTATCGAATCTAGGTTACCGTCTGGTACCAAAGATAACCGAATAACGTATCGAGATCATGCAATACTAGTAACGGTATTGTTTTGGCACCAGTGATACCATTAGGTAATGCAGCTCGGTTCTTAAGATTTTGTTGCTGTAAAAGATTTGTAATTTTAATTAGTAAATTTATATAGTAACTGGGAGTTACAATATGAAGGAAAAGAGATCATCGCTGCAACAATGTGCAGTTATAAAACTAATAGTCTAATAGTTTTTTTAATTTATAAACAGGAAATAGTGTAGTATTTGGTAATTTTCATTATTGACTTTCTTTCAAATTTAAAGGTGAAAAATAATTACTCAAAACCATCACTCGCCTCAATCACTCAACCGTAACCGTAATACTTTAACCGTAATACTTATAACCGTAATACTTATAACGTAACCGTAATACTTATAACAACAGTAATACTTTATATTTATAACCATAAGTATCAACATTAATACTTTATATTTATTAGCCAATATCTTTTAAGATTTTTTCAAGATTCCTGCTGACAAAGTTGTGAAAACTATGTGTAAGTTTTAATTTTTCAAAAAGAACCTTATAGCCAGGCGCGGACTGGGGCTTCAAATCCTACCGGGATTAATCATTTAAGATAAAAAATAAAAATGGACCCTGTGGTTTATCTAGTATTTATACTGTAACTGACTACAATCTCTTAATGTAATTTATAGAAGCAACATCTTCGATAACTCTACGGAATCCTTACACAAATAGCCAATTACGTCCTCAACTGCAATTGAATCCAAAATGTCCTTCTCGGTCAACATCAGCATAAATGTTTCAAGCTTGTCGTTACATTATGAGGAATGCAGCCTAGTTTTGACAATTTTTAATTTACTAAATGCCCCGTTCAAAGATCACTTGTGAGAATGAAAGTGTTAATAGATATTCGTAAGCCAGAAACAGATTTGAATAGACAATTGCATTCAAGGAATATTTGTATAAAATACTATAGCAACATTTTAAACATTTTTTACAAGACCCCTACACAACGCTCAAAGTTCTGAAAATCTCTATCATTCTCATTTTCAGTTGCTTTTGCTGAAGTATCCAACTCTGAGACTGAATTCGATTTTTCTAAATCTTTATCACTAGGACTCACGGTAAATTCATCTCAGAGTGTTTTTGAGAGCCTTTCAAAGTTTATAGCAATGCTATGCAATTCAGATCTCAATCTTTCGGAACAAAGATTAGTAAGTTGAGAAATTTTTGCATGACTGTTTTCTGGAATACCATTTTCAACAATTTCTTTAAAACGTCTGGGATCTAAACACGCAGTATCTCTAATGATGTCCCTGTTAACTGAGAAACGTTTATCTATGCTAGTGGTAATCTGATCAATTACTCTACGGAAAACATCTATTCTGAAACAATCAAGAGGATTTTCTGGTATGTCATTTAAGGCGAATTCCCCTGCCATACGTTTCTTTCGATGAACTCGTTCTACACGCAATTCTGTTTCAACTTCTGAATCATGTTCACTAGCATCTAGGTGGGTGTTAATTTTTTAACAAATGCAATTGTCTTGAAATGCACATCTTTGAACGATATTTTTTCCAGTTCTTGTTTTGCTGACTCTACCATATTCCAACCACTTAAATAATCCAGACCTCTTGTTTGCAAATATTTGGATGCTTGTCACAAAACGGTGTACACACGTAGAAGAAGACAGGCTGAAAGAAACACATCGAATTGACACCATTTGTCATGTAGTGCTGTGGGTTCGAATGTTGATTTTGCATCGAATCTTGAAAACATTCTAATACAATTAAAAACTTGCAAAAGAGCATAGAACAATTCCACTAGTGGAGCATTATAAGTTCCGAAAATTCGTTCAAGCGCCATCTGCTTCGACCATCAACGTGTTTCACCAATTTTTTGCAGTCTTTTCAGTTTCGCAGATCCAACTCCTTGTCCAATGTGAATATTTGTCCAAACGTTTATTCGTTTGTAAGAATCGCCAAAGTAAATTGCTGTACTCTGCAAGAGACCAATTAAATTTTTGACAGCTAATATATTTTTCACAATATCTGTTGCGGACAAATTTAGAACGTTCGCGTAGCACCACATGTATACAGCATTTGGTGAAACGTCGCTAACGCAACGCCAAACCCCACAATATCCACCACGCATGTTTGCTGCTCCATCAAAGGATTTACCCACAATTTTTTCCATTTTTAAACCATTGTGTTCAAGCTCTGATTTCAATAGTTGATATAGTCCTTTTTTTTGACTTGCCTGAATAGCTTTTTCTATATGATTATTAAGAGGAATGTCAAACTCTGCTATCAGCAATATATCAGTTCCAAAAAGTTTTCGTGATCAATAGATTTATCGTGTAAACTGTAGAGAGATTCCCCCAATTACCTCTGTATGGAAGAAATTGCTTTCCAATAAAAATTGGTGCCAAAAATTCGTTTAAATACTTCGATGTTTTTTAATACTTGCGCTTTCTGCTTTTCCACTATACCTTTGTTGATTAAAGAGCTTATATCTTTCTCTGTTGTACAACTTAATAGTGCAATTACAGCAGCGTAATGTGATTTTGATTCTTCATGGTCTTGATTCTGCGGCATATATTTGGAACACTTTTTAAATCCAAGTGTAAAACTAGAATTTTCTTTCGAAAATGCTATTTATGCATTGCAGCAAAGTGCCACGATTTGATTGTCTTTAACTCTTGCGGTTATCCAACGTCTTTGTACATACTTATTATCTGATATCAATCTTTAGTACACTCTTTTTGGATCATACGGTAAATACTTTACATCTTTATGGTTCGGCTGAATCATGTTATTATTTACTAATGCTATTCTTTGGTTACGCTGTGCACTGTCAGGAAGCCGTTTATAAATCAATTTTGTTGTTTCGGTTCACTGATGTTTATGGTTGAGAATACCTGAGTTAGCATCATCTTTTGTTAGTTCTATATACACATCATATATACTTTCTTCGGTAACAACTGCACCGAGTTCTGACGTTCAGTCTGTTATAGTTTTTACGGGCAAAAATAAGAAGTATCAAATCAGTTTGTTATTAAGTTTGTGATTAAATTAGGGGCGAGTTAAAGGAGGGGGGGTCCTAACTGAGACTTTTCCTAATCACTTTTTTTAAATTTTAGTTTCGGATGAAATAAAGTTCCTTTCGGGTCTACCTTAAACTATCATTTAGTAAAGTAAACAGCATGAGAAAAACTAATTCACGTGAGTATTTGTTAAAAAGTCAAAAAATATTTTTCTGTCCTCCTCTAAAATATTTCTGAATTCGCCCCTGATATAAATGATGCTTTAATTGTATTGTGAGAAATTGAAGGAAAATAAATTTGCACTTGAAGCGATAACACTAAATGGTTTTATAGTTATTAATTATATGTAACATTTGGTATTATGGGGAGATATACAACTTATGGTTAGGTGGGGGGGCGCCTATGATAGTAGGGCGCACCGGGAAATTTCCTGGTTTCCCGGTGGGCCAGTCCGCGCCTGCTTATAGCTATAAAAATTAAACCGAGTCTGACTGATCCTTGTGCTGAAACCAAATGTGGTTGAAAAGTGTTTTAAAGCTAAACATTGTTAATTTTATTTTTCGGACTTGCGATTGTGATGATTGATAGCTGCAATGTTCTAATTGTGCTTGTGATAATCTAGTTGTGCTTGTATTGTTCTAATTGTGTCTGTGATGATCTAATTGTGTTTGTGATGTTCTAATTGTTTCTGTGATGTTCTTATTGTGTATGTGATGTTCTAATTGCGCTTATGATGTTCTAATTGTGCATGCGTGAAGCAAAACATGGTTTTAAATAACAAATACGTTTTCTCAACTGAAAAAACCCTGAAGTCCAAAGAAAAAGAACTCATGTAGACAATTGTTGCTACAAATGCAGCTGCATTTCAGCACAGATGTGCAAAAATGTGTTTTCTATAAGTTTTGGATTGACAAAGGATTGTGCAACTAGAAAAATCAGTATGTTGCTTCCTGCGTAGAA